TTTCTGTAGGAGGAGAGGAGCCAACCCTGGGGAGTGTTGATGGCAAAGAAGGGGAAATGGGTGGGTTCGGACTGAGCTCCAGCTGGCACAAGGCCCTCTGTGTGTGAGTGTGTGTGTGTGTGTGTGTGAGTGAGAGTGAGTGAAAGAACTTTCCATCCTAATCCCGGCCCCCCAAGTTGATTTCAAAGGTGGGGGGAGGGCCATGGTTTTTGCTGGGGTCTCCCAAACAGGTGGTCACTCCAAACTGTGGAGTCCAGCCTGGTGATGCTGCATTTTTATTTTTTTGCTGGGGGAGAGAATCAGCATCCCACCCCACCCCCACCCCCAGCGTCTTGGTCAGGCGAACGGATACACACACACACACACACACACACACACACACTTGGGGGGGGGACACACGAGACAGAGTAATGGGGAGATTCCTTTTTCCTTCCGGATATCATGGCCTATGAACTGCCATCTTGGTGGGGGGGGGGCGAGAGATCGTTTGCCTCTCGGCCCCTAAACCCTTTTGACACCAGGCTTTGGAACTAACAAACATGTCCTCTGACCATGTGCAGAGGGCATTCCTTGTCCCCATTGGCCCTAGCAGACCTGGGACTCTTGGATGTGGTGTGTGTATGCGTACTCAGGCATATTATTTTCATCAATGTTTGTTGATTCCCGAGTTTTAGGAACAAACTAGGAAGAGGGAGGAACATCTAGGTTCAATGTCAGAGTGTTGCTCCCAGGATTTGGGATGAGGGTGGGAGCAACCTGTCCACAGAAGGAAACCAGAAATACTATATTTGGGAATACCCAGGGGCCGTGGCTGTCATGAGATAAACTGTGGCCCCCATCCCACGCCAGGGGCATCGCCATCTCGAGGGGCACCCCTGCCCAACGGTTTTGGGGCAAGCCTGAGGATCACAGGATTTGTTTGGGTATTGGGGAGCCTTGCTTGGCCACCCGCTTCCCTCCTCTCATCTCGGACTTTCCTCCTTCCCTCTGATTTTCTGAGAAAACTTTGCTTTGAGGAAGAAGAGTGGGTTTCAGCGGCTCCTGGGGGGGGAGAGAATCAGCTGATGTCTGGTTCTGTGATGTACAGAGAGAGCCTCCCCTGGGAAATGCTTACCTGCCTAGAATAAGGAATCCTGGATCTTTAGCCTCTTGGAAGGCACGTCTACCCAGCAGGAGGACCTGTCCCTTCATGCCATGTGCGAGAGAGACTAAAGCTGTCCTGTGGCTGATGAAATTGTGAGTCTGTTTCGCCCAGGATGGTCTAGCAGTGGGGCTTTGGGCGTGGGTTACTCAATCTGGAAGAGGCAGGAAAGGGGGGGTTTAAACTTGGAGGGAACTTTAGCCCGTGGCATACACACCCTGCCCCCAATTCTCCCCAAGTGGAAGTGACAACCTTCATCTACTCAGAGGTAGCTTTCTTACCCTCTGTCGTGCTCCCATACTTATCCCTGGCACTGCAAAGCAGCCCTCCTCCTGCATCCCGTGGAGGGTCCGTCTTCCCACGAGCCATCAGACATCGCTCGGAGACTCCTCTGCCTTTCTGCGCTTTCTCCTCGGTGTTTGTTCCCACCCGGTGGCTCTGGACGGGTGAGACGGTCTCTGAGGCCCTTTCAGCCACCCGGAGCCGCCTTCCGTCTTGTGCGCTTTGGGGGTCTTTCCCAACCCAGCCTTGCAAAGCGGCCAGAGACTGACCTTGGCGTTTGTGACCTGCTCCGGAACCCCATGGGGCTGGGACCCCCAAGCAGAAGGAGCAGAATCCAGTGAACCTCACATGGCCTGGAAACAGGCAGGCTGTGGAGGGTCAGCAGCCACCAGGGAGGGCCAGGGATGAACAGTGGTGGCTGATGAAAAGGGGCTCCTTGGGACTTGTGAGGGAGCAGAATAATGTGGGTTGCAGGACCAAATCCCCTTTTTGTGTCTCCCCAGAATTTTCTAAGCCTTCATGGGTGTGTGTGTGTGTGAGTGAGAGAGGGAGAGAGAGAGAGCTTGGTCATGCTGAGGAGCCAAGCTCCCTGGCCACCTTGCTCCAGGCGCTGGGGTGCTGGCTGTGGTTTGTCTGAGAGAGCAGGAGGAGGAGACTGCCCTCTGCACGGGCCCAGAGGAACGATTTCCCCCTCTGGGCTGCTGGCTGGGCCGAGACTCATCCAAGCGCAGGGAGGGAGCGAGGGGAGGCTCTCCCTGCGTTGGGCTTAGCCATTGTTGTCCGCTGGCGTCTCGACTCCGAAGGGCAGGCAAGTTCATAGCTTCCAAGACTCTGCCAGAGCCGACAGGAAGTTGGGACGTAAGCCGCAGTTATTACTGCCCATTAACGAGGCCCAATTAGCTCTGGAGAGGCAGCACAGCTGCTGTTCCTGCTGCTGCGTTGCAACTTTTCCACTGCTTAAGAAGTGGAAGGACTTCTGGGCTCCCTCTTAGGGCACCCCTGTGGGGAAAGGGAAGATCGGCCTGGATGCCTGGCTTCTGTCCACAGCGCTGTACGGGGAGCAGGCTGGCACGCTTGGCAGGGGGTGGGCGGGCGGGATATCAATTTGGGGGTGGGTGGGGGAGAGACGGGTATTCTTGTATTTGCCCGTTGGCCTTTGGAACAGGTAGACCTGGCACGCTTGTAACGGTAAGGCTGGGAGGAGGCCGGTGGATCAGGGCGGCTGTACTCTTGGCCAAGAGCATGGTCACGGCCAGGGTGGAGGTTTGACCTCCGGCCCCATCTCTGCAAGGCAGGGCCCTGCTCTTCCTACCGGACCCAGGGGTGTGGGTGTTTCTGTGTTCCTGGTTCCGCCTTTTATTGGCTGCACCCCCACCCACCCCCCATCTGTGGTTGTTGACAGGATTATCACACGAGCAAGGGGTCCGAGGCTGCTGTCCCCAGAAGCAGCCCCGAGGAGTGGGGAATCTGAGACCTGGACACTCCCAGAGACTAAATACCTCCCCAAGTTCTAAGCAGGGTTGGGGCTGACATTGCTTACGGGAGTCCATCGGAGATGGAAGTTTTTGGTGGGGGGCTGCTGCCTGCCAGAGGACGTGGGGGAAAAGCCAGGGGCCGGTTGTCTGGAAAGGCCGGGGTAGAGGCTCAGTTTCCCTGTCTCGGCTGCTTTGCCTGTCTGAGGAAGGGTGTCCAGTACAGGGAAAGGGGTCCACTTCCTCTCGGAAGGCCTTGGCCCCCGGGGTCTTGCTGACCCATCAGATCAGAACCCAGAGCGCTCCTGGCAACTTGGCCTGTGCCGTTTCTGGGTGGCATAGAGGGTGACGAGAACGACAGGCCCCTCTCCAGGCCTCCGTGAGTGGGAGCATCTTTTCTGTCTTCCTTCTGCTCTCTGATTTTGATATTTGGCTGAACAGAGAGGCTGTTTATCAGCAAGCAGGGAAATACATTTGTTGCCCTGGTTGCAGGATGGGTGGCTCCCGGGCGAAGGGGGGAGGCACACAGGGAGATCCCGGATCTGGGCCAGAGCGGTAGGGATGCCCTTGGTCCCGGGCTGTCCTGGGCAATGGATCTTACCTTCCTAAACCACCCCGTATCTCCTTTGAACAGAGGGAGGGATGGTCAGAAGGATCCGCGTGGCCTGAAATGACCAGAGGTCTTTCCGAGCCACCCCTGTTCGGTTCTTTTAAATGCATCTGCTGCATTTCACGGCTTCTGAGCCACTCCTGACTGTTAGCACCTCCGAGGCAGGAGGCAACTACGTACTGTGGCCTTGTACCCCCAGCTGGCCTGAAAGCACCGGACTCGGCTCTGAACTGCCCCCCCCCTGGGACGGTCACAGCTGCTCTCCCTCCTCTTCTGTTGCCAAGATCAGCAGCCGATGGAACTGAGCTGGACCATCCTTTGGCTGCCTGACTCTCTCTGGGGAAGCCCTCCTGTTCCAAGGGGCATTGATAATGGCCGTGAATCTCTCCCCACTCTGGCACACTGGCTCTGAATCAGCTGAGTGATCGGGAAGAGAGGACGGAGGCAGAGAAAAGCTGTTAGGCTAATGGCCAGGTTGGAGGGGGAAACTGGAGGGGATGTGCAGGGAGGGAGGGAGGACCACATCCTTTGTGAGCATCATACTACCCTGAAGGCAATAGAGCTCATCCGATTTAGAAAGCAGAGCCGGATCAGGCCTGGAGGGGATGTGCATGGGAGGCCAGGAGGGAACGGAGGCCAGGGATGGCGAGGAAAGAACCTTGCCCACAGCCTTGGAGGGCCAGAACTGCTGGTCAGTGGCAGCACCCCAGGGCTGAGTAGCGGGAGGGGAGGGGGGGTCTGGCTCAAGCGAAGACTGTTCTGATGACCCCCATGGGATTGGCTTGCAAGGGTCCCGAAGCTGCAGCCTGGAAGAGAATCCTCGGTGGTTTCCCCATTTCGAGCAGGGTTTTGAGTGCCGGAGGGGCCAGGGAGGGGCTGCCCAACATTTTCCCTTTCTGCCTTGGTCCTCTGAGCAACTGTTTTGAAAAGAGTGGGGTGGAGCAAAGGGAAGCATGAACTGCCTGACTTTGGAGGAGAGGGGGTTTTCAGCAGAGCCCCCCCTCCCCTCCCCTCCTTGTAGCACAGATGGGGAGCAGGTACGCGGGAATAAAGGCTGCTCTCGAATGGGGAAGCCGTGACCCACTTTTTTAACTGAGCGAGTCAAGCTACAGGGCAGAGAGGATCCAAACACCAAGCCATTGGACGACGAAAAAGCCAGTTCTTAACCCATGCAATGGATCTGCATCCACACGGTTGGTGTGCTGTTTCTGTTTTACCAGCGGATTGGGGGGGGAGGAAGAGTTGGGGCCCGTTACTGAGTGATGCCAAAGCCTTGCGTGTGTGATTGCGGGGAGTTGTCCCCCATCGTGCCTTCCCTCCCTCCCTCCCAGCAGAGAGGCATGGGCTCCTTGGGCATGCAATTTGTTTGGCAGGCCAAGGTGCGTTTCTGTCAAAAGGTGCAGCTGCAGAGCAACCATACCTGAAGGTGCCTGAACCGATGAACCTGCCCTGATAGAAAGAGGGACTTAAGAATATCAGAGGCTGGCTTCTGTGAGTGAGTTCCTCCTTGGCCCTGTGAACTCTGGATAGGCAGTGCGGTTGACTGACTGCTAGCAGTGCTTTTCCAGATCCTCAGCTGGGATTCTCCCCCCCTCCGAGGACTAGCAAAGCCTAACCTTGCTAACTTTTGAGATAAGGTGGGGGGTCTTCTTGTTACGTGCCTCCAACGTAGGGTGACCCCATGGATGAGAGGGCTCCCGAATGTCAACAGCCTTGCTCAGCTCCTGCAAACTCAACCCTCTGGCTTCCTTTAGGGAGCCAGTCCATCTAGCATTGGGTCTTCCTCTTTTCCTGCTGCCTTCTGCCTTTCCCAGCATTCTTGTCTTTTCCGGAGAATCCTGCTTTCTTACGATGGGCCTAAAGGAGAACAGCTTTAATTTCAGCATTTTTTGCCTCCAGAGAGAGAGTTCAGGATTGATTTGATCCAGGACCCACTTGTTTGTCCTTCTGGCAGCCCAGGGCATCCGGAAAGCTCTCCTTCAGCAACACATTTGAAAAGAAGCATTTTTTTTTTCCTATCCGCTTTCTTCACTGTCCACCTTTCACATCTTGGCCTTGATCACCAAGGACGCATCCTTACAATAGAGAGGATCTTAGTCCAGGGTATAGGGTTCATCTTCCAGATAAAAAGTATATCTCTGCAGCTGCTTGCGCTGTGGTAGCCGTGATGGGTCATTCCAGTTTTGTTTATAGTTTCTCTCTCTCCCCCCCCCCCCGGTCCTGATTTACTGCTTCTAGGAGCCGCAGCTCAAAGCAATATTTTCTGGCATCCAAATCAGCGTCCCAGTTTCATCAGCTGGCACATTCTCCTCTTTCCTCCCCCTGCATTTTATCCTGAATTATCCCCCCATAACAATTTATACTTTTCGTTTTATGAATATATTTCTTCTTGGACTTTGGCCGTTCACCTTGGTACCTCTTCCACGGCCAGTCTCTCAGTCCAAGAACATTCCTAGATATTCCCAGCCATCAGAAAGAGTTTTCTTTTTTAATTCAGCTGCATCGCACCAGTTTCTTCCTGGCCTTGGGGTCCCCAGGCTGGCCGAGGCTGCCTTTTCCCTCCTGCCCCCCCACCTTCATTTGGACGAGAGACCGCTCCCCACCCCCGCCCTGCTCTGCTTGTCTGGGAATGGCTCCCATCTGCTGAAGCGACTCTCTGAAACCCCCAGCCGCCCGCCTTGTGTGCCAGCCGGAGAGGGGGGGGGCATTCACTCTGGCAGCAGCTAAGGAAATAAGCCCCCCACCACCACCATTCGCCAAGTGTTTGCCCGGTCCCGCTACAGCTGGTGTGCTTAAGCTGGGTGGGAGGCGGGGTGAAGATGGGGGTCAGGACACACACAGCTGTTGGGGGCTCCCCCCACGCCATTCAGGGGCAGCTGTCCTGCCCGATGGGGGGGGTTGCTCACGTTGCCCCTTTTGTTCCTACTCCCTCCCAGGCAGCTGTTGCAAAAGCAAGTTTGACTTTTCTAAAAGCCAGGCCTCCGTCTCCTTAGAAATTTGCTTGGGGGGGGTGTTCCTCCATTCTTTCCTCCCTTAAGCAAATCCCGCTTCCACAAATGCACAAGAGTCATTTGGGGCTGGTCCGGGGCGCGGGGGTGTGTGTGGTGAGACTTGTTTGGCGTCTGGAACCCTTTTGTGCATCTCCACAGTGTGTGTGTGTGGGGGGAGGGGATGGGGACTGGAGGTTGGAAGGAGGAGCAGGGGCGGGTAGCTTTGCTTTGTGGCCATTGTGTGGGGCACACGCTCGGCACAAAAGGGACCCCCAGGTTGTCGTCTGCACTGGCTATTTTCTGTGGGGCTGATTTAATGGCCCGGGCCATCTGTGAGATGAGAGGCTGCGGCTCTGGGTGTTTGAGTATCGGATGTCACTTTTGCCTGGCCGCCTCCCGTCAACCAGGACAGAGTTGTGTAAACTTTTAGTTGAAATAAAAAGTAGCCAAAAAGTAGCGCTTTTTTTTAAAAAAAGTAGCAAAAAGTGGATTTCCTTTCCTATTATTGCATTATCATCATCTTTATTCTTATTACTGGGATAATAATGTGGGATATAGATTACACCGAGGGTTGTGCTGGGCCACAGAAAAGCAGGCACTGCCTGGAAGAGAAGAGAAGCCCCCCCCCCGTACTTATCTCACCTGAGTTTCTGGAAAGGAATGCAGTGCAGATGGACCGCAGGCGGGGGGGGGGTCCAAGGAAAAGAAGGGGGTCTCGAAACAGGCCTCTTCAGGCCACACCGGAAGGGCTGCAACTCACGCCTGTAGGGTTCCCTCGTCAGTGTGAAAGGAGGGCTTAATTCACACTAGAACTCCAGCCTGGAGCCAGGTGTTCAGTGGCAGGACTCGCCCTTGCAAGGGGGCTTCAGAGCATGCGTGGAGTGCTTTCCGTCAGCCGCCCCTCTCTGCTCATCAGGGGAAGGAGGCTTAGCTTCCACACAGACAGTTTCAGGCCAGGCTCCTTGCAGGCTGAAGGCCACAGAGCTCCTCTCTCTGTCTGTTGGCTTCGCGATGCCCCAGTTCAATCAGAGGGGGTGAGATCAAACGGTGGGGAGGATGTTCAGAAACGGAGAAGGCAGCCCGTCTGGAGCCACTTTGATCTTGGGGAGTACGCGGTTCTTATTACTGGCAGTCCGTGTTTGCAGAAGAGGAAAGGAAGGAGAGGAAAGGTTGGAGGCAGGGAGGTTTGGTGTGGGTGGGGGGAGCCTTGTTTTTCTCTGCCAGGCCCCCGTCAGCCGGCATTCCTGGATTTTGTTTTCTATTTTGGCATGTAGTAGCTCCATAGCTGGCAGAGAGTGGGGGGGGGAGTCCTTTTGCAGGCTGGGTCCTCTCTCACAGGCCCTACTGGTGCGCCCCCCCCTGCACGAGCCCTGCCCTTCCCCCTCCCCTGTTGCTTTTAGAAATCCCAGCCCTCCTTTCTCCTAGGCTTTGGGGCCCGCCGCCTCTTAACCGCCACCCCTCAGCCCTCTTCCTCCCCGCTCACAGGAGGCCCACCGGGGTCAGCAATGAACAAGCTGCGGCAGAGTCTGAGACGCAAGAAGCCGGCGTATGTCCCGGAGGCCAGCCGACCCCACCAGTGGCAGGCGGACGAGGAAGCCGTGAGGAAGGGGCGCTGCAGTTTCCCCGTGCGGGTGAGTGGCCGCAGGCGTCCGACGCCTGCATTTTTGGGTCCCTGTTTAGGGCTGTGTCCTGCCCTTTGGAAGGGTACGTTTGGTTCAGAAGCTCTCTTCCAAGAGGAAGCCTGGCATCTTCTTCCCGGCTTTGGCCTCTGGCCACCTCTTGCTCACCCAGGATTTCCTGAGATTAGCTGTGGGTTGATTCCCTCTCTTCTTCAGAGGCCACCTCCTATTTGTCTGTTTTCTGTCTTTTACCGCAGGACCTTAAAACAAACATAGGCCGAATTACTGCAAGTAACCAATGAACATTTAGAATGTGAAACCGCTATTTCAACTGCCTTTCATACCCTTCCATACCTTTTTAGCAGGGGAACTCTGGGGAGAAGCTGGCAAGGCCCTTTACGGCTTACCTATGAAACCCCGAGCTCAGCTTTCTCCCGGTAGAAGAGGGAACACCTTTGCTTTGAATGGGCTGGAGGACCACTTTGAAAGCTAGGCTTTGAGGAAAGGCACAGGACGCTGTCAGTCAATAAATGAGAGTGCCTCTGAGCACATGCAGGGTGCCCAATAATTGCTGCTGAGTAACAAAAGGATGGGCTCAACCGGGAGCAGCTGTTCCATAGCAAGGGCCCAGAAGGAGTGTTTCGACAGCTGATGAGTCGTGATTAGGAGGGAACAGTGGGGGGGGGGACAGGCAAGACCCTTGTCCCTAAAACTCTTCTCCCCCTGCAGTACTTGGGCCACGCGGAGGTGGAGGAGTCCCGGGGGATGCATGTTTGCGAAGAAGCTGTGAAGAAGCTAAAAGCGGTGAGTCTCGGGCGCTTGCAGGACACGGAGGCAGGCCCTGGTGAGCTCCCCCCGGTCCTGCCTTTATCCTGTTGCTGGCCTCTGAGATCAATCGCAGGGTGGCTGCTTGTTCGGATTCATCCCCCAGGGGCCATGCCAGAGGGGTGGGGGGTGTTTCTGGGAAATGAAGCCGGAAAAGGCAGTATTTCCTAGCTCTGCCACTCTCTGGCAGTGCTCGCCATCGGTCCTGGCGGCTGTTCCGTCGCTTTGTCTGGTGGATCCTTAAAATGCGTCAAACTGGCAAAAGGGAGGCTTATAAACCATCTCTTTTTATTCATATGATTCAGAGGCCGTCACAAGATTTCTAAAGAGCAGGTAGCATTTCTTTTCATGTGTGTGTTTGATTGATCAAGATCCTGGCTCACATCACTCTAAGAGCCCACTTTTCTATGTTTGTTAATCCACGAGTATTTCTGTAGCACTAAAGCGCAGATGGGGAAGTTGGACGCGTGACCCCCTTCGGAGGTGCTGGTGTGCCACTCCCATGCTCCTTGGCCGTTGGCGCTGCCGTCTGGGGCACATGGGTTTTGCCATCCAGGAATGCTTGGAAAAGCCGCTTCTTCCTCCTCTTTGAGCAGAAGAAGTCAAACCTGGATTGGCTTAGGAGGCTTTGCATGAGAGTGAAGAGGGAATATTTCTCCAGCAACTTCCTCAGACCTGGTGCCCTCCAGTCCTGGGTGGGACAACAGTTCCCATGCGCCACCCCAGCTGGGGCATTTCAAGGGCCTCAAGTGAGGAAGGCCAACTCTGCTGCCACCTGCAGTCCAAGAGAGTAAAGTTAAAAAACCACACACACCCTATGAATCCTTGATACATTGCTTTTTCCTCGAGACAAATGTTTCCACTAATTGAAAAAGTTGTAGGTAGATTTAACCAAACAATCGTCCTCTTCTAAAGGCTGCAGAAGTATGTTTTCGTTGAGCTCCCCTTTTGTTTCCGTTTTCTAAAGTTCTGTTTGGCTTTTGTTAGGGCCGGCTGAGACAAACAAGCAGGTCTGTCTTTTTGAAACCTCCTTTTTCGCCCTTCTCTGCTGATCAAACTCCTTTTCTCCAGCTCTGTTAACCCCTCACCTTCTCTCGCTCAGTCCCCCTGCGATCCACTGTGCATTATCAGAGGACGGACTCTGGCTTAACAATTGCCTGTCTCACCCTACCAGGAAAGGAAGTTTGTTTCATCTCCAAAGTGAACCTAAGAGTGCCGTCCCGACTTTTCCAAGAACTGCTTGATAGCTTTGTCATTTTGGAGTCCAGCCCCTGTCAAGGAGGGTAAAGCAGGGAATCGAACCCCCAGCCTCTGGCTGCACAGCGAGAAACCTTTTAATATTGTGCTTAATGAAAGAAATGAGAAAGGGAAGGAAGAAGAATGAGTGATGAAAAGTTTTACCATTAGATTGCTTGGTATCGAAGACTATTGTACTCTTTTCCCTGTAGAATTTTGTTTCGAAATTACTATTTTTGTCGTTTTGTTTTTAAGTGCCAAATACATGGAATGTGTGAATGCATCCAGAGGAAGTCCGACATAGCCATTGTCTGTGGCCTCATGACCTGGCTAGGAAGGTGGCATGAGGTGGGGGCATCTTTGATGGATGGTCATGGAGGAAGAAGCCCCTCCCTGCCCGTAAAAAGGACTATTCTTTCTTCCTGTCGAGAAAAAAAAATCTATAGTCAGGTTGCGTTGTTTTTGGTTTTTAGATGTTTTTTTGGCCTGGCCTTTCCTCCCTAACTGTGCTGTTCCTGTTTTTGGTCCGAACAGAGTGGTCGCAAATCTGTCAAGGCTGTGCTTTGGGTCTCGGCTGATGGGCTGCGCGTCGTAGACGATAAGACCAAGGTAGGGCCAATCAAAAGAGGATGTGAACCTGTGTTCCCTCTTCTAATGTTGATTGTTCATTCAGAGGGTTTCCCCCACTGTGGGCTTGGTGTGTGTGTGTGTGTGTGGGGGGTGAGGTCTGTAATCTTGTGAGGCCTATTGAAGAAAGCCTGCTCTATCTTGATGCCTTCAGAGACAGGAAAAAACAATCACTCGATGTGTTGCTGCTGTTGAAACGCTCGTCTCTCAGGTCCATTTTGACCTTCCAGTTTGGATGGCAAGAGACGCATGGGTTGGCCCTTATGCCATTCCTCAGTGTCCCTCATGCGCCAAAAGGCACACAAGGCTAGAGCAAGGCTGTATCGTGATGAAGGATGGCCCAGAGCATGTGCAGAATGCTTGTTCTCTCTTCATGGAGCATATTGGGTGACGTGGCTTCGATGTGGGCTGGAAGCTGCCCTCTCTTGACCGGGAGGAAAGTTGTTCTCTTGACCTCTTTGGCCTACTTGCCTCTCTCAGGATCTGATTGTGGATCAGACGATCGAGAAGGTTTCCTTCTGCGCCCCGGATCGCAACTTCGACAAGGCCTTTTCCTACATCTGCCGCGATGGCACCACACGCCGCTGGATCTGCCACTGCTTCCTGGCCCTGAAAGACTCGGTGGGTGGCATTCGGGGGGCACAGCCGGGTTTCCGCCTGCATCCGCAAGGCCAAAGCGTGCATGTGCATTTAGGCTTCTTCCTCTTCCTTGAAACCATCAAAGCTCTGGTGGCTTTCACTCTGTCTGGGAAGAAGCCTTAAAAGTGGCTTAAATTCTCACTGAACTATCCTGCCCTCTGAGAAGTTGTACCCAAGAACAGAACCCTTGAGCCACTGGATTTCTTACAGAGATCAGGCCATATTGCTCCGTCTGTGCAGTTGAAAAAGAAAACCTGGCTAGCTTTAAAGCTTGCAATGCAGCCCTGCTCTTTCAGTTATTGTTAGAAAAAAAACTCGGCAACATGTTAGTAGTTTGTTTATTTATTTAAAATAACTTTACCTTGCCTTTTTCCTTAAAAGGACTCAAGGCAAAACTATGGTGAACATAATTTTAGGGGCAAAAGCACTCTTTCCTCTCCGGATTAGTAAGACTGCGCCACTGTAATAAGGATGTAAGCAGAGTCCTGATCCTCAAGGAGCTGCGTCTAGCGCCCTGGTTCCCACCATGAACCGCTAGATGTCCCTCTGGAGGGAATCCTGTCTTACCCTCCATCTCTTAGCAATTCCTTTTTAAGGAAGGTTTTTAGACTATAGTATTTGCTGATCCTGTTCTTCTACGCCCCATCTTTAGCAGTGATATTATAAATTCTGCTGCGTCTGGTGTGGCTCTTGCTTTTCGTGGCACAGTCATTATGAAGAACAATGTTTTACCTCGATCTCCAGCGCTCGCTTCTTCGTTTGTCAAATATATTTTTCAAAAATTTGCTAATTCACCTACACATGTGTCTCCATCATAAAGAGAATCAAAACAAACCCATGAAGTATCTTTTGCACTTATTTTCATGTTTTGGATATATTTTTAGCTTTACACCTTCCTGAATAAAACATAGTGGCTTTTTTATAAAATAAGCCTCTTTTACTGAATCTTTAACTTTTAATCACCTTGGATTTTTTTGTACAATGGTATGGTTTTTTTAAAAAAAATCTGTAAATTCTTGCATGTTGGTTCCCAGCCTTGGGTTGCCAAATGTTCTTGGACTACAACTCCCAGAAATCCTGGTTAGTGGTGAAGGTTTCTGGGAGTTGCAGTCCATCTGGAGTCCAGGAGATACTGATCTTTCCTCCATGGATTTGTCTCTATTGGGCAGTGTCGCCGTTACTCAACAATGCCCTGTGGTCTGTAGGGAGTTTGAAATAGGCTGAAGCCTCTCCTTCCATCAGAAACATCTTCATACTGACGTGCGCACACACACACCCTTCCACTGGCTGATCTCACAGATCAGCTGGTTAGCAGATCTGCCAACAGAACATGGGTGCCAGCTAAGACCTGCTAGCAGAAGGATCTTAAAAAAAAAGAGGGGGGTAGATGAAGAGAGGAATTGAGCTATGCCAGATCCAAACCTCCTCCAACCCAGGGAGACAACCACTACAGGGGCCCCAAAGCTAGCCAAAAGGGGGGGGGGCTGTCCTCCCTCACTCCAAACATCTCGGGACTGTGTTGGGGGTTTGGATTGAGTACAGTCTCAGCTGGCCCTCCGCCACCTTGCCCTCTGAGGGCTGCCCGTGCTGTCCATCGGATCTTATGCTGGGTGAAGAAGCCTTTTGGGGGGGGCATCGGGCAGGTGCCACAAGGAAAGCAAGAGGGGGGGTCCGCCAGCTTGCTTCACGTTGCCGCCGGCAGGTGCTTTGAGTCCCACCAGGTGGCCTTGATGGTGTGCTTATCTGTGTATCTCCTGCTCTTCCCCTCCCGCTTCGATCTCCCTCTCTTAACGCTTCCCTCCCGCCGCGCAGGGTGAACGTTTGAGCCACGCCGTGGGATGTGCCTTTGCTGCCTGCCTGGAGCGCAAGCAGAAGCGGGAAAAAGAGTGCGGGGTGACTGCCTCTTTTGATGCCACCCGTACCAGTTTTGCTCGGGAAGGCTCCTTCCGCCTGCCAGGCCCTCCGGCTGGCCGCCCTTCAGGGGCACGGCCCCCACAGGACCGGAAGAAAGGTAGGCGTCTCCTGCCGTCTGTTTTCCCTGGGCTCAGGGCACTGCCTGCAGCCTTTGAAACAGGGACAGGAAAACAGGCCCTCGGCTCCTTCTCCTCATTGTTTAGGACCTCTGGGCACAAAACAAGACTGCAATTTGTGCAAAGATACCGCTCCACAAAATGTAGTGTTTTTTCTCTTTGAGAAGCACAGAAGATGTCTGAGGCCAGTTTAGAAGGAGAGGCTGGTGATTAAGAAAGACAAAAGCAACCCATCTGGAGCTTCCATTAAAAAAAAAAAAAACACAACAACCCTGAAGCATCGATTAAGAAAGACAAAAGCAACCCATCTGGAACTTCCAATTTTTTTTTTAAAACAACAACCCTGAAGCATCAGATGGGTTGCTTGTGTCTTTTGTAACCATCAGCCTATCCTCCTGTCTCCATGAAAACAGATGGTAAATCTTGTAGTGCTGTTCTGACTTTTATTGGGTGAACCGTCTTGTGATGGCGTTCATTTCCATCGACTGTGTTTGGAAATGCTTTAAAGAAGTGAAGCAAATGAACAAGGAAGGGATTTGAGGCTGCGGGTGCCAACCCGCCCCCTCCCAAGTCTGCCACGTTTTCTGTCCTCCTTTTTGCAGCCGAAGCGGCAAAGGTGCCCTCAGCGCCTCCCCCGGCCCCCGCCCAGCCCGGCAGTGCCTCTCCACCCCAAGGGGCCACGTCGCCAGAAGAGAAGGCCGAAGCAGGGGGCGCGCGCGCCATCCCCCGCCGCCACGCCCCCTTGGAGCAGCTGGTGCGGCAGGGCTCCTTCCGGGGGTTCCCCACCCTGAGCCAGAAGAACTCTCCCTTCAAGAGGCAGCTCTCCCTGCGGCTGAACGAGCTGCCGTCCACCCTGCAGCGCAAGGGGCACACGGACGATGCCGGTGAGGAGCCTCAGAGGGAGGGAGGGAGGCCGGTGGCCAGGGTAGGCCTGAGAGGGCCATGCCAGAAAGAGACGGGAGGCAGTTGCAGACTCAGAGTTCGACTCTCTGCTCTGCATATCCAACTTTGCAAGTTCAATCCCCATCTTGAAGAAAGGGCGGGCAGGTTTCCCCCGAGGGTGGGAGGCGGTAACCAGAGCTGGTGATCCTGGCCAAATGGCACAACGGTCTGACTCAGGCTCCTTTTTCCAACGGGTCCCTCTTCTGAACCACATCCTCCCTCTTTTTCTTCCCTCCCTGCCTCCTTGCTTTTTCCCAGTGATTGAACTTGAGCCCACCCCCAACGGGGACTCAGACGGCATCACCGCCCTCTGTAGCCAGATCGACACCTCCCTTGCCCAGCCGCCCGGAGAGCCAAGCAACGTTGCACCTCTGGGGGGCGCCCTCGGCCACCCGACAGCCACCGTGCCCATGGAAGCGGGCACCAGCAGCCCAGGTATGCTCTGCAGGCGGGGTGGGGGGGATCCTTTTTGCCACACAGTGGTGTTGTGGGCGGGTGCGCCTCCAGTTTAGCGGGCTGTAATTCAGCCCGGCTTTCTGTGCCCCTTGTGTTGCTGACTGCAGGGCCGCCCATGTGGACAACCAGCTCTTCCTCGGGAGCCCCCACGACACCCCCGTTCCAGCCGGGACACAAGCGGACGCCTTCGGAGGCCGAGCGCTGGCTGGAGGAAGTGGCCAAAGCTGCCAAGGCTCAGCAGCAGCAACAGCAACAGCAACAGGTGGCCGTGGCGATGCCCGCTTTCCCCCTGGGCTATGACGCAGCTCCTCCACCCCTGGGCATATTCATCCCACCCCACCTGCCACCCACGTTCCTGCCCATGGGCTCCCCTTACCCTCCAGCCATGCCCTACGCCGCCACCGTTCCTAGTGTGCCCGTGGTGGGCATCACCCCCTCCCAGATGGTGGCCAACGCCTTCTGCTCGGCCACCCAGGCGCCCTCCACAAACCTGGGGGCCAAGGCCAGTCCCTTCCCTCAGAACCTGCTGGGGCCGGCGTGGCCCAAGGCCAACGGGACGGCCTGGCCTGCCGAGCAGAGCCCGCCGGCTCCGCCGCCCCCCCGCCAGGAACCCCCCGACCCCTTCGAAGCCCAGTGGGCTGCTCTCGAGAGCACAGCCCCTTCCACCTCCCCGAACCCTTTCGCTGGCGACCGGCAGAAAACATTTGAAATTGAACTGTGACCGCCACACCTTGAGGGACTGGACGATATAGGTGTGTGTGTGTCCCCTCCGACCTCCGACCTGCACTGCCCTCCCCCGCAACGGGTCTGCTCTGTGGCTCCTCTCCGCTCGCTCTCCACCTTGAAATCCGGATTGCCTTCGGGATCCTGCGGTCTGCAGCTAAGAGAACGGTCCCCGTGCCCTCCAGTCAGCGGGGGTCCCGGCTTGGAACAAAGCGGGAGGGTGTGTGTGAGAGAGAGAGAGTCTGTGAGGGACCGGGTGTGTGTGTGTGTGAGAGAGAGTCTGTGAGGGACTGCCTGGGCCACCTGAGTGGGGGCGGAGGGGAAAGGGGCTTCGGGTGGCGGTCAGGGTTTCTGAGCTCCTTCCAGGAGCTGCTGTTTTTAGGATACTTCCAGAACAGTTCCGGTGGACCTTTCCTCTCGCCAGACAAGTGGTACTGAGGGAGACAGGTGGGTTCCCCTTTTTCGCCCTCCCTTTGGGGTGGAGGGGGTAGGGGTGGGTCTGGGCGCTGGAGGGGTCTCTCCTGCCTCCTCCAGAATCCCTTGCGTGGGGGGGGGGCTCAATGCTGGCCCAGCTGGCCTGGTGCCACAAGCGCCACCCCATCCGGGCTTCCCTCCTTTTCCCCCTCTGAGGAGGCTACAGAACCTCATGCTTTACTCCTTCCCGGCTGCCCCCTCCCACAAAACCCATTCCCGAAACGCCACTGTGTCCGATTGCAAGGCCAGTAAAACCTCCCAAATAGTCAAATATATATAAATATAGATATATTTCTTTTTGTATATGCAAAACCCACCACCTTTTTCCTGGGGGAGCCGTACAGCGTGTTCCTAAGATGAAGACCTTTTTTCACAGCCCCCCCGGGGGGGGGGAGGAGGGAGACGACCCAATCAGGGGGAAAGTGCCCTCTTGTAGGGACTGCCAGGAGCATCTTTGGGGGGGGGGAGGTGTTTCAAGCCCAACCCGTCCCTCCCCTATGTTCTCACTCCTTAGTTTGTCCAGGGCTTTGGGCTTGGCCTCGGCTCTCCT